TAGGTCTTTCTCAAGAGCTGAGGACCACCCAGCAACACTCCTGTACCCCCCCCAACCCCACCCCGCCACAAGATCCTGCTCAGGACCCTCCCAAATCCAGGGACACCCCAAAACCCCTCCCCAACCCCTGGAGCCCCCCCAAACCCACCAGTCTGCCCCTGGGCCGCCTCCAGCTCCCGCATCTTGGCCAGCCGCAGCCTGGGGAGGAGCAAAAGGGGGGGTGGTGTAAGAAGGACAGGTACCCCCACCCATGGGTGCCCCCACCACCACCCATGGGTGCCTCCCAGAGGGGAATCTCACAGGGTGACGATGTCGGCATTGGCCAGCTCGATGGCAATGGTGAGGGGGTCCTTGCCCTCTGCATCCACCGCGTTCACGTCAGCCCCCCGCTTCAGGAACAGGCAGGCCAGGCTGGAATTTGGGGGGGGCACATTGCCGGGGGGGGTTGGAAACATGGGGGTTCAGGGGGAACAGACACATGGGGGTGAGGTCACCCATCCAGGCACCGGATGGGGCGGCACCTGCTGAGCTTCCCAGTGGGGGAAGCTGTGCTGGGTGCCCCCCCCCCCCATTTTGGGAGACCCTTAGGAGATGGTGGGGCAGGGATTGCACCCCCCAAAGGGACTAGGGACCCCCCAAGACAATAGGGATCCCCCAGAAAGGGACTAGCGATCCCTCCCAAAGCAATAGTGACCCCCCCCCAAAAGGAATAGGGATCTCCCAAGGGACTTGGGATCCCCCAAAATAGAATAGATAACCCTGAAAGGGAATAGAGACCCCCAAAAGGGAATAAATAACCCCCCAAAGAATAGGGATCCCTCAAAAAGAGGACAGAACCCCCCCCGCCAAAAGGAATAGGGATTTCCCAAAATGGGACAGGAACCCCACCCCAAAAGGAATAGCGATCCCCCAAAATGGGGCAGGAACCCCCCCAAAGCATATATGGATCCCCCCAAGGGAATAGAGCCCTCCCCTCAAAATAAAGAGGGTTACCCCCCCCCAATTCAATGAGTAGGGTCAGGTCACCCATCTGGGCAGTGCCCGAGGCAGCCCCTGCTTAGCTTCCCAAACCGGCCGCTTTTGGGGTGGGCGCCACCACCATTGATAAAATAGAGATCAGAGTAACGGGCAGCACCCCCCCTTCCCCACCCCTTCCCAGTACACTACTGGGGACGCACCCAGTATGTCCCAGCACGGTGGCGTGGTGCAGCGGCCCCCGCCCGCGGCTGTCGCTCTGGTTGACGCTGGCTCCGTTCTGCAGCAAGAACTCGCAAGCCAGCAGCGAGTTCTTTTTTTGGGGGGGGGTGTCATACACAATTAGGTGGGCGGTGCTCCCAGCACCCCAGGGTGCCCCTCTGGGTGCCACCCCCCCCAAACACCCCCTCGGTTACCGCGGCGACGGCTTGCAGCAGGGGGGTGCGGTTCTCCTCAGCGGTGTTGACCCACCCGGGGTCAGCGCCGTGGGCCAGTGCGTCGGCCATGGTGGGCAGGCGCCGGTGCTGGGCTGCCCAGTAGAGCAGAGCCCCGGGGTGGAGGCTGGGGGGGCCCTCTGCCTCCGGGGGTTCTGGGAGGGGAGGGATGGGGCTTCAGGACATGCCCATCTTGCTCGGGACACGCCCACCCGGGGAGAGGCACGCCCATCCTGCCGCCCACCCACCCCCCAAAGCTTCCCCCCATCCTCTGCTAGGAGGTTGTTGCCCCGTAAGCCCCGCCAACCTGGCTGGGAGGTCACACCCACTCGGGAGACCACGCCCACAATGCACAAGCCACGCCCCCAGCAAACTGCAACCCCCAGCAGCTGTTCTCCACAAACCACGCCCCCACAAAACAGGCCTCTTCTGCATAAGCCACGCCTCCTTGCAATAGCCCCACCCTTTGCCATAAGCCCTGCCCTTCATAAGCCCAACCTACTGCTAAGCCCTGCCCCTCACAAGCCCCACCCCAATGATAAGCCATGCCCTTCTCTGTAAGCCCC